ATATCTGGCTAATGCATTACGAAATAACACGGTGATCCTCATTATTTCTTCATTTCTCTCATATCCTCATCTGCGCTTTTCACACAGACACTCACCACACTATATCTCTACAACAATCAGATTGGAGATGAAGGAGCACAACATCTGGCAGATGCATTACAAAATAATACGGTGAATTTCATTCTCTCTTCGTCTCTTTCATACTCCAATCTCCACTTTTTCATATAGACACTCACCACACTCAATCTCTATCACAATCTCATCGGAGATAAAGGAAGGAAATATCTGGTTTATGCTTTACGAAATAGCATGGTGATTCTCATTCTCTCTTCGTCTCTTTCATATCCCAATCTCCACTTTTTCACACAGACACTCACTACACTCAAACTCGATGTCAATCAAATCGAAGGTCTCACAGCACAGCGTCTGACTGATGTACCTCGAAATAATATGGTGATCTTCGTTCTTTCTTAATATCTCTCATATATTCATTTACAAGTTTTCATACAGACAGTCACTACAGTAGATCTCACAAACAATCGGACCAAAAAGACGCGTAGAAATCGTTTGAAAAAGCTGATTGTTACGACTGTACGACGAACAATAGCGGACCATCGATATTAAAAATGGTTTGATGGAAAGCGGAAACAACTTATTGAATATGTGACTAGATTTTTTTATGCTTTTATTTGAAAACGAAAATAAAGCTTTTTGATTTTGAATGCGATGTGTGTAATGATGATGTTGCGGTGGTTTTATTGTAGAAAAAGCATGAAGGCATACGTGTTCCTTTTTTGAGTGGTGCTGCATATGTGGCTTTAATAAAAAGAGATAATGTACCTTCCAATAATCCATAATAATTTCATATGGGTAAACGTGTGTTTGGATTGTTTCAGTTAATGTAGAGTGAAGTGGACGTTTAATTTGGCAATGTTTTCGGTAGTTTTCGACGTTTTGAATGATTGTGAGTTTGTGCAACTTGGAAAAATGGAGATTTGAATATCTATTTTAGCTTATAGTTTATGATTATTTATGTGTAAAACGATCAACAAGTCCCAAACGTTTCTTTCTTATAAAAATTACCTCATTTTCCGAGGATTAAAAAGTCTAACCGTACGCTGAAGATGTTTTTACAGAATAGGATCTATGGCGCTATTGGAATCGGAAATTTATGAAAATCTGATGTCTTTAACTGGCACGTTCAGTATTGAAATGATTCATGAAAGTAAATGCTGTCAATGTGAAATCATACCATTTTAAAGCTAGTTAATGTTTTTGAGGGCATAACGTTTTGTATGAAAATGATATTGAAATACTTTGAACTGGCGAAATAATTGCATTCATCTTATTGAACGTTAATATACAGTGCACTCCAATTCATTTTCTCCCTTTTGTTTTTTTTTGTGTTTTTATCATTACACTTCGTTTATTTTTTTAACTTCTTATACATAGGAAGAAAGTCCGGAACGCGCTGCATCTTATGGTATATTCACATGAAATAACAGATAGGGATTAAAGTATACAAATTGTATAAGAAAATATAGTAGCAGTTTTTTCTCGTCACAAAATAAAGTCACATTTATTATTCAATTTAAAATAAAAGAGAGGTAAGTATTGTTGAAATAACTTTTGATAGGAAAAAGATAGAGATCTGAAGTTTTCACTATTCGAAAGGGGAAATAAATCTGCATCGAATATTATATTTCAGATGTTCTCAACAAGCTTTACCAGGATCTTCAACTAGTCTTTTGAAAAACTCGGCTTTTTTGTAGTCTTTCAAAAAAAACAACTTTATCCTTTCTCGAAACGTGAATTCTTCAAAAGACATAGTTGAAGATCCTGGTAAAGCTTGTTGAAAACATCTGAAACATAAGACTTGATGCAGATTCATTTCCTCTTTCGAATAGTGAAAATTTCAGATCTCTATCTTTTTCCTATCAAAAGTTATTTCAATAATACTTACCTCTCTTTTATTTTGAATTGAATAATAAATGTGACTTTATTTTGTGACGAGAAAAAACTGCTACTATATTTTCTTATATAATTTGTATACTTTAATCCTTATCTGTTATTTCATGTGAATATACCATGAGTTGCAGCGCGTTCTAGGCTTTATTCCTATATATAAGAGGGTAAAAAAATAAACGAAGTGCAATGATAAAAACGCAAAAAAACAAAAGGGGGAAATGCATTGGTGCACACTGTAAATTGGCCCATTTTAAAATTAAAACTAAATCTTATTACTTATAAAATTATTTTCTCTTTAATTTAAAACATTATCATCTTATTTTGCACTTGATATTTGTTTTACATTCTCTAAGGCTATCTAAAATCTAAAGAGAAAAATATAATTTTCTTTTTTTAATTTAAAAAATTAGAAACATTTTGGTTTAGCTGATGTACTTAATTTTGTATTACAATAATTTTTTTATTCACATGAAAATTTTCAGAAAATTTCTGAAAAAATTTCAATAAAAGAGTGTCTACTAATGTTTAACAAGACGTAAAAGAGGAGTTTTCGGTTATATAGTTCAATGATCCGAACGACGGGTAACAGAATGTATGTATGTTCGAATCTAGCCTTTAACTTTCTATTACTTAGGGCATACCAAAAATAGTGGCAATCCTATCTCAATTTCGTATAGGCGACTTGAAGAGATTTTCTTTTTATATAGACTGATAGTAAAAACAAAACTCTAAATTTCTACATTATTTGATCATTATTCATCTAATATCATAATAGTAAAATTGCCATTAGACTTGTTTAGCTATGATATGTAATGATAACATTAGTTCATATTGTCTTCAATATGTGTTCTTGTCTTGAGCTTCTCTCTTTTCTTTATTCTTTTTTCCTTGTCTCTTTGAATGCTTAACCGTCTAATCCATATATAAGAATGTACAAAAACTAGTGGTGATAGAACAAAATAAAAAAATAGAAACAAGTTTAACAAGTTTTTATTTCATCAAGTGTTCGAAATAATCGCCTTGATTATCCACACACAATTGCATTCGTTGAATCCATTTATCGAATGTCTTTATACTCTTATGTATTCAAAGAGTTTATGAAACCGCCATTCTCACCCTCATCTTCAAGAACAAAGAGAAGATCAAGACAAGAACACACATTGAAGACAATACGGACTAATGTTATCATTACATATCATAGTTAAATAAGTCTAATGAAAATTTTATTATTATGATATTAAATGAATAATGATCAAATAGTGTAGAAATCTAGAGCTTTGTTTTTACTATCAGTCTATATAAAAAGAAAATCGCCTCAAATCGTCTATACGAAATTGAGATAGGATCGTCACTACTTTTGGTATACCCTAAATATATTTAGATTTAGATTCGTCCGAACTAATTAGTCCAATGCACCTCACTAGAGCGTGTCATGTGAATCACCCGTAATAGTCTTTATGTTTCAAATCAGAATTATTTTGTGAAATACGATCTAAAATGAGTGTTGAAGTATATAGTATAGAAATTTGCACCAATTCCCTTTCCCCACAGACTGTGACAGACATCTTAATTAATTAATTAATTAATTTGTATTTAATTGACTAATTAATCGTCACAGATCGTGACAGACAAGGTCATGACGCCATCACAGACCATAACAGACTCCCTTCATGGATCGTCACAGCGCCTAATAGCCGCCTTCAAGAGACTATCAGACATTATGTATAACTAACATTTAAGTGGAGTATTCATGAAATATTTCCTTCATGAAGTTCTGCGCTGTAAATTTAGCAATGCTGATGGAATATGCCCAGTATACATAGCAAAAATCATTTTTTAGGGGATTAGTAATAATAGTTATATCGTGTCTCACATTTTAATCCCTCAGGGATTGTGCTAATAGCTTTTCTTATAGGTATCATGGCAACCCGACTTGTCTAGTCTTTCTGAAGAAAAAGACCAGACTATATTTGCATCATGACGTTCGGCAATGATGGGATACAAGGATACAGTTGTATTCAGATCAGTTCCGGACGAGAACTTTTTAAGACTCTGACTAGTCCTATCATGCCAACACGACTAGAAAATAGCCTAGACATTTACCCCATCGCTAGCTCATTTGAGATGATAACTTTCAGGAGAGAACTCGCATTAAAGGTCAGCTGCTTACAAAGATGAGCTTCGTTGTCGATGGTGACGCTGACGACAAGCATTCTTTGCTTGCCGTTCACATCGTTCACCGTTATTCTCTTGTTTCCTTCGTTTTCCTCTCTTGTGACGCATCCTTTCCTCGCCGTTCTTGCTTTTGTTCTTCTAATTCTTGCAAGTGCGACGAACAATGGATGGTTGCATCCAGTCGTAGTCATTGTGTTCTCATGTCCGCCCTTCCTTGTGCACATTGTTGTTGGGTTCTTACAGCTCTTGTAAGTATTTCTGGTTTACGGAGCTCGTGTGATGGTTCAATTGCAATCTGCTTAGCAGCATCGTCCAAATGTGAGATATTTTCGTGATCAACTGCTTTTGAAAGTGACTTTCCACATTCTTCAAAACAAATAACATCTATCGATGTAGAACATATGAATATTTGAAAAAAAAACAATTTCAAATGAATAAGTTCGATCGTTTCGTGTTCGAAAAATCTTCTGTTGAATTTCGGCCAAGCATGATCCTTTTTAGCTAGACAGAACGTTCTGATATCGCTATTCGTATCAAATAATGACATCATCAAACCACAGAATCTCTTACTGTTCTTCCCATCATCACTTGTTCTCTTTCCTCGGTAATCCTGCTTCCCTCTCCTGTCATGATGTCTTACGTAAATAATCTTTCATTACAGTTACGAAAAAGAGTAATAGTGATCGAATAGAAAAGTAATGTCGCAACAAATTTGATAGCTACGTCAGCAACCAATGAAATGAAAAATGTTGTGTTTTTTTTAAATGCTCGAATACTAATGGGTAAAAAAAACTTGTAATATCCTACTTCTTTTTTTGGACTTTCGTAGTATTGAATAACTTCAGTTCGATCGATTCATGGATGTTAATCGTGATAGTAAATATTTTGAAAATTGAAATAATTTTATGCAAATAATTATTATTATTCATTTAGATTTTTATGGTGTTTTACCAGAAATTTTAAATGATATAAATAATGCTGATTATGTAGCAATTGACGGTGAATTTACAGGAATATTACCATTCAATAAAATGAATTATTTTGATACTCCAGCTGAACGATATAAACGTCATTATGAAGTAAATTTGGTCTCTTTTTCGTGTTAATATTTAAAATTTTGAATTATTTATTTCAGTGTGATAGACATTATTTAATGATTCAAGTTGGTCTTGCAATGGTTCGATGTATTAATCCAACAGAAAATCGGTAAATAAAAGTCAAATAACAAGTTTTAACTTAAAATTTTTTATAATTTTTTTTTTTATTAATGTCTTAGATATGCATTAAAAGCTTATAATTTCTATTTATATCCTGAAAATGAAATAGATGCATTTGATTTTCGATCAAAGGTATAATCGAATAAAATTTTTGTTGAAAAACAAGAAAAAAAACTTATTTTGTAAATTATAGAGTTCATCATTACAATTTCTAGCGGCTAATCATTTTGATTTTACTCAATTATTTCTCAAAGGTAATTCAAATATACGTATTCATAGTATATTCATATATTTTTCTTTTAGGAATTCCTTTTGTTTGTAAAACGAAACATTTAGAAAAATTAAAAAATTCACAACTATCATCATCACATCGTAATAATCAGCAAATACTTAATAGTAACGATAAAAATGAAAAGTAAAAGATTTTAAATTTTTATATAAATAACAAAATGTTTTCTTATTTATTGTTAAAGAAAATCTGAAGCAATAGCAAATTCGCCCAAACAGTCTGAATCTAATAATTTATCAGATGCAGATTTATTAAAAAATTCAATGATCGGATTTTCAGAAGTCATGTGGTATGTTTTCAGTTCATTTTTATTGTTTAAGATTTAAAAAAATATTTGTTTGTTTTTGTTTTATAGGAAATTACAAGAGTCTGTAAGTGATTTTATTGATATCGATATTTATTAAGAACGATGCCTTGAAGAATGCTTTCTTTATTGATTTTGAATTTATAGAGTGTAAAACATGATATCAAAGAGGTGTTGAAATATAGGAATAAAAATCTGAATCTCTTTTCCCACAGATCGTGACAGACGCTATTGATACATGATTACAAATTGTATATCAAAATATCTCGTTATTGAATATAAACTACGTCCTTATTTCGTTTCTGGAGGATAAAGTAAAAGAATGTTGCAGAAATGTGCCTGAAAAAGGGATAGAATAAACCAACCTCGCTGCTATTAACAACAGCAGTTACATTGTGTTTCACATTTTAATCCTGCAAGGATTGCACTAACAGCTTTTATTGAAGATTTTTCACCTCCTAGGTAATATGTTCGTGGAAACCGAAATTAGAAGATTTTTATCAGAAACTTTAAGACGATTCTAATGATCTTGAAACTTATTTATGGACAAAATTTTAGGTGAAAATTTCATAATTCAAGTTTCCACGAACAATTGACCTAGAGATCGAAAACCTTAAAAAAACGGTTATAATGATACTTAGGTAAGGCATGAATTCAAATTCTTAGGATAAGTCCAATATGAGCTCGATTGATATTCAACATTTGAAGATTTTTCCAAACCAAAATTGCTTTGAACTGATTATGATTTAGGTCTAGAATGGATTCAAAGAGTCTCAAGATCAGATTAAAAATTATTATTTTTTCTTTTTTTAGGGAAAGCCTATAATCGGACATAATCTTCAGTTGGATATGCTACATATAATCAATCAATTTTTTACGCCTATACCTTCCGTATGTTTATTTCATTTTATTTTTAAATTTCATTGTTTTTCTTATTTTAGCCTCATGATGAATACAAATTCATTGTTAAATCTTTATTTCCTAAGTAAATATATTTAATAACAAATTAATATTGATTTTTTTTTAAAGATTAATCGATACAAAAACAATTGCATCAACATCATTTTTTCAAGTAAAATCATTTTAAATATATATATATATGTATATCTATTTTAATTATTAGAATATTATTTCAAATACAGCATTACATGCTATTTATAAAATAATTCGTGAATCATCCTTTCCAGCATGTTATTTTGGTATATAAAAATATGAATATTCTATGTGTGTATATAATGTTTGTTTTGTCTACCTCTAGAAACTACGGATAATTTCCAGTATGCATCAGGTGAACATGAGCATACAGCTGGTTATGATGCTACTTGTACAGCTGTTTGTATGACTATAATGATGGCATATATTGGTAGAGAAGAATAGAACACAATTTTTTTTTTTTATTTTGTTTTTTTTTAGCTGAAAAAACTGATTTTAAACAAAATCCAATTGAACATACATTAATTAATACATTCAATGGAAAGTAAGTTAGAAATAATTTTTAATGAAATCTTAAAAAAAGAAAATTCTGTAGAATATTTTATATGCGTTCATTTGATCTTATATATTTTGATGTATTTAATAATGATGGTAAACAAATAATATTTTATAAAGAATAAATTTTAATATTTCTTTTTTTTTTTTTTTATTTATTAAAGATTTACCTGATCGATCCTGTGTTTTTTATGTAACTCATCCTCAAAGATGGTCAACAATAAATATACGTGAATATTTTTCTCAATGGAATCTTCTTGCTTATGATCGGTTAGATTTAACAACACATATTATTGCAGTATCATTAACGAACGACACAAAAGAGACAAGTAAATATTCAAAAACAAAAAACTATTAACGCAATTCCTTCTGTTGCTAATCACAGAGAGAGATTGTTTTATTCTATCTATTTTCGGATACGTTTCTTCATCATATCTATCATGAAGATGGTGCACGTTACTAAGTCATCTGCTATAGTCTCTGACTCGCATCTATAGATAAATCTAAATTTGTACCTTTATACTTCAACATTCATTTTAAATCGTGTTACACAAAAGTAAAAACGAATACAAATAATTTTTTTTTTGTTTTTTTAGTGTTAACAAAAATGCGTGCAAATGATAAAAATTTAATAATTACTTCTTATGCAGAATATAATCGTCTTGATCCTTCGAAAATAAAAATTAAACAACCTAGTCATCTTTTTGACATAGTTCTAAATAATAGAAAATCTAATAAACAAACTTTTAATGATAAAAATGTAGTTACTACATCAACTGAAGAAATTACAACATTAGCGACTGTAAGTTCTTTAACTTAACTTATAAAATTAAAATTTTTTGTTTCTATTTATTATAGCCAATGAATATTTCTCCTAATCCAACAGAAAATCCTATAAAAACAACGAGAAATTATAACGATCTATCATTAGATAATAAAATGAATTCAACTATGGAACAAAACGAAAAAGCAAAAGAAGTTAAAAGACAAAGATTATCTGCATACGATGATGAATGATAAAAGTTAATAAAATAATCATATTTTTATATTTTATATTTTTTTTTTTCAATAAATATAAAATTCGATTGTTGATCAATAATATAAATAATAAAAGACGTTTAAAACAAATTCAAATTTTACTTCTCAATAATAATAATAAAAGATTTTCTTGAATCACCATACGGTCAATTTTATTTTGATACCAAATTTACATAACATTAGACAAATAGATAGAAAAATGTTAAACATATCTTTTTTAGCATGATCAGTAGCGAAAAAAAGACTGTTTCAATTTCGTTTTTCCAATCTTTACTTGTCAATTTATGAGTGGTTTACTCGACTTTTACCTTTAAGAAAAATAAAATCGCTGAGAATCGGATTGAGCAAACTTTGTCCATAGATAAGCCTTATAGTTACTAGAAATATCTCAAAATTTCAACTAGAACGAACATATCTTTGATAAGACATTTACATTTTAAAGAAACGTCCATTATGGGCAGTATTTCAAAAGAAAGACCTTTCTATGAACAAGCTGATAATTCGATACAGATACATTTATCCTATTTCAAACTTTGGAGTATTTCTAGTAACTATAAAGCTTATGTATGGCCAAAATTTCAGTTCGAAATGCTATTATCCAAATTTTCAACACTTCTACGCTCACAGAACGAAAACCAAATAAAACGTTGAAAAACCCAACCAAAACAGACTTTTTCATCAATCATTATGGCTGATCGAATAGCAATAAACTCAAGTGACTACACAGTTGGACCTAGAGAGGAAATTTTTAAAACTCAAATATGTACTTCTTTGTTCCGGCGGCTCCATCGATCAGCTTATATCTCTAGTTGGAAATGATTCTTTGTTAGTAATTATAGTGATATGACAAGTTACTAACTAAAGAGAGCGAATAAAACAAGATACTCGCCGAAATGAAGATCACTGATATAGATCAGTGTCCGACTCGGGTCGGATTACAAAAAATTGATCGATTTCGAGTTTCATATAGAATAAACAGCAATTTGAGATGTGATAATGACTTTTTTACTCTGACTATTGAGAGAGCATTTATAGATTCAGTAAGAGGTACTTAATCTCTATAGAAATTTTGCTTCGATTGTCTGAAAATTATCTGTCGACTTTGGGTCGGGTCGGATCACAAAAAAAGTGACCCATGTCAGACACTGATATAGATCATCAAAAACAAATTTAATAATCCTTCTTTTCGTTATGATGATCTCATTCTCGACAACGAAGTGTAGAACCTTTTTATCGATGATATATTAATTTGACAATAAAAATTTTTGCTGATGAAGAAAAACACATTTATTTGGTTGTTTTTTTTTTGTTCAGCAAATGTTATACAGCACAAATGAATATAATTAGGGAAAAAGAAAGGCTACTTAAACTGTACAAATGAATGATCTACTACAGAAGAAAAACAAACCAAGCTACTACACATTCAAAATATAACTCAATAAGACAAAAAAAAAAAGCGTAAAATATTCGAAGAAAACAAAACAAACGACATAAATGATTAAAACAAAACCACCAATACATAAACAATATATTATATAGCAGATGAATAAATTTTGAATAAAATGTTACAATAAAGAGAATGACGAGATTCAAAAAACAAAAAAAAAAAACAAAAGGAAAGACACATATTCAAAAACAAAAATTGCACACATAACAAATATTCAATATGTATATTGACTTTGTGTATTAATCATTAGTTCCTGACTCGAGAACGAACTTTTCGTGTAGATTCAGCTAGATGACAGATGAAAAAAATAATCATGAACAAAAAACAACAAAAAAAATTTTTTTTTTTCGTTTTTTAAATTATCTTTCACCTTGCTGTGAACTATCACTGTCTCGACGTATACCACAAACACCTTGTGCTGCTTGATTTGCTAATTTTGATGCATATAAATTTGCTTCTTCTTGTGCTTTACCAATATTTTTCTTATATCGAATACGTTTATTACCAAACCAATTACTAACCTAAAAGAAAAAAACATTCATTTCGAAATTGAGGAAAATTTCAGTCGTCTTTGTGGAAGCATCAGGCTTTAGTAGTTGCCAGCGCTGATTGATATATCAGCTTTTAGCTTTAGTTAAAGCATAGTGCTTATACAGAATACTATTTCGTATTTCAATTGAAACCTATCGAATTCGAAATAATTTTTTAATAGCTCAATTTTCTAGAGCAAAATTTGCTATTTATTTTTCTGTATGACAGATTTTAAAATTTTCGCATTTTTAAAAGCAACTTTCGAAATAGCGATTGCCAATTTCTATAGAAATAAATTCTTTAATGAAAATGCACAGATAAGAATTCGCTAATTGTAACATCTCATTTTGTACAGAATTCAGTATTTTATAATAATGTTGAGTTGAAACTGTTCCAAGATACAAAACTAAGAACTGCACTAAAAATAACAATTTGTTTTGAACAGATATTTTTTAATGTCACAAAAAAGGAATTTCGATTAGGAAATACAACAATAAAAGCCGGCTTTTTTTTTAAACATCGTTCTTCATTGTGGGGTTTTAATCCTTCTTATTCCCTGGCACCAATTCAGAGTAATGATGTTGAAATTAATCATAGGAATAACTTATGCAAATGCTGATATGGTTAAATTTGAGTGAAGTCATTTTGAAAGAAAAAACCCTTATCATGTTACGCATTATGATTGGATTAAAAATAACTCAAAGGATTAGTCTAATCATTGTTAATGTAGAATATGAAAATACATTCTTAAAAGATTAAAATCGATTTATTACCTGTGATACACTAATACCACATTTTCGAGCAAGTTCTTCTTTAGCTTCTTCACTTGGATATGGATTTGATAGATGTGAATAGAAATATTCATTAAGAACTTCAGTAGCTGTTTTACTAAAATTACGACGTTTTCGTCTAATATAAATTAAAAAAAAACAATAGATAATATTGATTTTTGTTGTTTTTTTTCAAATAAAACATTACCGTGCATCAAGAAATCTTGAACGAAGTATCATAACAGCTTCACATGTACTTTGTTTAAGTTGTAATTGTATTGATGAAAATTTTTTTCGAATTATTGATACCATTCGATCAATTTCTCGAGGTGATATTGGTCGTGCACGACTTTGTTCACGTAATAAATTTATAACATGACTAGTAAAATCATTACATGCTTGTTCCTAATTTACAAAATCAAAAACATTTTTATCTATTCATTCATATTTATACAACAACATATCATATATTTTTCTAATAAAAAAACGATTCACTATTACCTTCTTAAATCTAGTTCGGGTATATTTTTTTATAACGCGTATGTCTCAGAGTCGGACGAATGGTTTTCAGGGCATTGAAACTACTCTACTGTACTCGTTTTTATCGATCCAGAACTATAACTAAACTGAACAAAATCGCCAGTTAAATGGCTACACTTTGTATTTCAATTTTTCATTACTTAATAGGTTGTATTAAAAAAGCAAAATATATCACAAGATGCAGCATGAAAAGTTATGCAAAACGAAGAATAGAAATTGTTAAATATCGATTGGTGTAAAAAAAATTCTTACAGAACGTCACAGACTATCGTAGAAGTTATTACTACTTCATTAATTGACAGATCGATTTTCTACTAATCAATGCGATTCAATTCAAAAAACAAAAAAAATTCTATCACTAAGATTTTAATTTTCCTTCGTTCAATACACATACATATTTTTCTAATTCCGTATGATAAAGTTGTCGAATTTGTGATAATTTTGCTCGATAATCTCCATGTTCAAGTGCAGATTCATCATTAATACTTGCAGCTGCATTTGCATTTGCAACTGATGATGATGATGAACTACCTAATCTTTCTGGACCAGCAATACCTTCAGCTAATAACATATTATCAAGACGCATTAATTGTGCATCAGGTGGTTCATCTTCAGGAAAATTTCGAAGATTAATAGCTACAAGCAAAAAAAAAACTATGATTAAATATTAAACAACAAGAAAAACAACTCAAACCTGTTTTTTCTTTTATTTCACATAATACTTGAAAAAATGCAGGTTTAAGTCGGCTTTGATTAAATGCATGTTTTCTGAAAAAAACAAAAAAAAAATTTCTTTTTCTCTCTTCGAATTTATCAACACTCACCGTGCTTGAGCTTCATCAAGACTTTGATCCACAATCGACATTATTTGTTGTATCATTCCATTAACATCATTAAATGGTTTATTTTCATTAACATTCATATCATATGAATTATATTTTGCATCTGTTGTTGATAATGTCAATGGTGAAATCATTGGATTATAATGTGATGATGTTAGATTTGGATTATACGTTGGATCTTGACCATCCATAGGTCTATTTTTATTTTAATAAATTAGATTAATCTAATCGGCTTGTTCTTCTTCTTCTTCTTCGTTAGTCCATATTTTACCTATTTAATTAACAATGTGATAAAATAAATATTTTCTATTGGTTGATTTTGTATGCATTAATGTGTTAATGTAAATGAATGTTTTTCTATGGAAAGGGGTTGAGATAAGCTACGCATACTTGCATGTACACACACAAAATCACCATTGCAATAAAAATACACATAGCCTCTTAAAAGATGAAAGAGGGCGTTCTATATCACGTATGAAATTCACATCCGCTGCGCTTGTGTATATCAGCGTTGAAAGAGCATTAGTGCACAAAAAATATTCCTAATTTTCTTATTCTTAGTGTTATGTGATTCGAGTTATATTACAAAAAAAAGATATTAAAATGGAATGAATAAAAACCGAACTCTGTCGGACTTTTTTGTTGAAGTACACTGCAAATTAATAGTATAAAGTTTTTTTACATAAATATAGAAAAACCTAAGAAATACTATTTTTCTTTTTTATCATACAAGTAAAAGTTAAATAAATTTCACATTGTATTGCAAAAACAAAAATGCAACTAAATAGTTCTATTAAAAATTAATTTATTATCAGTAATATTATCAGAAAATGGTTCAAGACTCAAAAATTCCTGGCTACATCACTGCATCCGATATTCATTCACATGGTTGTTCGTTAGTAAATACACTACTGATTTTTTCTTCAATTCTAGAGCATATCATGTTGTTAACGGCGTACAAAGATTATCGAAGTCAAGTAAAAAAAAATAACAAATATTCGGTAACTTTTAGACTTTTTTTAGGTTCGAGGTACTCTTACTCGCTTGATGACTAATTACAATACGATGAAAAACTTGGAAAAGGAAAAAAACAGATTGAATCGAATTTAAACCAAGTTCGTGTTGCATCTGGTAAATATTCATCCAATCCACCTGGTCCTAGTTCTATATCCGATGCACATTCATCGACTCCGCCAGTTTATGGTAATGCACCAGAGATGTCCATCGCAGCTGAAAATCTGCCGCTGTCTTAGGAAAAAAACTGCCGCGCCGCGATGGTCTATAAAAAAATGTTGCCGCGTCGCGATGAATCATAAAATAAACGTGCCGCCGCCGCCGCGGCGGTTTTCAAAAAAGTGTTTCTAATTTCACTGCTGCGACTATATTTGACCAGAGATATTAGTACTAGTCTATCAGATTCATTTAGCCTCGGGATGTTTCATTTGTAAACTCTGAAATTCTATTAAATTCATGCAGTTTTTCAATGTCCTTCAAAAAACTTCTGCCACTGCCGCGATGGTTTTTAAAAAACCTGTCACTGTCGCGATGATTTTTAAAAAATCTGCCGCTGCCGCGATGATTTTAGAAAAAACTTGCCACTGTCGCCATCGCCATCACGGCAGCGGCAGCGCTGCGATAGACATCTTTGTAATGCACCTACTGCATATTCATCGAATCTACTAGCTTATGGTATTTCACCAAGGGGGAAAAAGCGAGACTTCGTACTTCTGAAGTACGAGTGAAGCACAAGTGAAGTACGAGTGAAGTACGGTGAAGTACGAGTGAAGTACAAGTGAAGTACAAGTGAAGTACGGTGAAGTACAATTGAAGTACAGTGAAGTACGAGTGAAGTACAGTGAAGTACGAAGTCTCGCTTTTTTCTCCTTGTATTGCACCTATTGCAGATTCATCGAATCCACCAAGTATTGGTCCTACATCTGTTGCATATTCATCCAACCCACTAGGCACTGGTATTATTGCACCTAGTGCATATCCATTTGATCCAAATACACATGAAAAAATTAATAAAATTATGCAAATAGAACGATAAATATTACGACTCGAAGCGAACATCAGCTTAGCTTTTGAAACACTGATTGCGACGGACCAGCAATTTGGTAATCAATATAGAAAATTAAAATTCCTTTTAATTTTTTAATTTTAGATATCGATTGGCTAATAGGTGCAACATAGAAAGCAAAACAAGACGATGTTTATTTCATTAAATGATTTTATGAAAAAGATTTTAAAATAAAATAAAAATTCTATATGAAATTTTTCATCTTTCATCTACTAAATTGTTTTAATACTGAATCAAGTTCTTTACGTAATTTATCATCTAATGTCTTAGTTATGTTATAACTCAACATAATAGCTCTTCTTGAATACGAGTCATTAAAGAATCCATCGCTGAAATAAATTTGCTAACGCTTTATCTCGTCGATTATTAACGCGTGTCTATTGTAATTCTTGTCATGTCAGATAAATCTAATTCATTATAATAAAAGTCGAACATTGTTCACATAATACCTTTGGATCACAAAATAAATCACTGACAGATTTATTTTGTCTTAAAAGATGATCTAACTACGAAATTCAGCATCTACTTGACCAAGTTTATTTATTTTTGATGCTGTAAAAAATAACGCTAATGCATAGAAATCTTCTAAATCAAATACGGAGACTGAAAGAGTAACTAATGATGGTGTCTTCGATGATACAAGTGACGCTAATTTTGTTGATAATATTTGAAAAAGAGAAGCATTTATACCAAAACAACGTGCGAATTGATTACGAAGACTAACTAATCGATTAGCCGTTGCTTTTTTGTCTTTTTTCTTTATTTATCAAACTATATTTAATAGATTTACTATCGATTAAAATAAGTTCTGTATAATAACAGGTTTCTCTTTCATGTTGTACTTTTCTACGTTATCGCAAAGACGAATGTCAATGAAAAAGAAAGAAAATACTGGTTTTTTTATCTGAAATAAATCTTTATTTATTTTTGTACTGAGACGAAAATGATGATCTCTTGTACAACTGGAATTGATTTGTGTTTTTTCAAACTGAGCCGATCTGTTTTTATTTTAAAATCTCAAACCGAAGCTATTCATATTCAAATGAATTAAAGTTTATCATAAGTTGATGAAGGTACTGGCGTTCTATACAAAGAGACCTTTTATTTTTATAAGTCAAAGGTGTAAATAGTCTTCTGGAAAGTAGATCTATCTGACTCATGACAGACTACAGTTATTTGCAGTTTATTGATGGCTGTCGCATATTCCTCGGTCTAACTGTCAGACTCTATCTTTCTCAAATAACGATATCATGATGATATTTGAATTCAAAATAGAAGATTGATTTTATCAATATGAAATTGTGCGAATTGAAAAGAGATGATCAGACGAAACAATTATTCATTTAGTATACTACAAATCTGAAGAGAATAGATAAATAGAAAAATTGTTTTTCATTAAAAAGTTTTGAATAGATTCGATTAACTAATTAAAATTGATCGGTCAAAATGATACATTTAATGACAGTAGAAATATGAAATAAAAAATCAATAGAGCTAGTCAATTATATCTGTAAAATAACAATAACAAGCATTTGAATCAGTAAACGATGATTTAGATAAACGGATTAACAAACTACATAAATAAATAATGAATAAACAACATGCATTTCATATGAAAATAGTCGTAATTGTGCTCAGTTGAAGTGATATCTTTTTGACCTCTATACATCAAAGATATACCTCTATATCTCATTATAACCACATTTTTTGCTAAACGATAAGGCTTTTTTATTGAAAACTTTATAACACACAATGGACAAGTAGTTCATCTGAGATATTGCCTTGGTGTATGGCAGTCTCGAAGAATACAATCAACATATATTTCAGGAAGATAGATTCAATGTCTGTTAAGACTTCTGCTTCAAGTTATTATCACAGTCCTTGACAGAAGTCTTTCAATTTTATTCACTCGACTTTTCTGTGCTTTCCAATTGATATAAAGTTTTCTATCACATTGAAGTATAGAATGATTATCTAAAGTACAGTATACATTTCTACTTTTAATCGATAGAAACTAATCGTTATATGCGAAGCTACAGGAAAACCACTAGGACTTGGATATTATTTTAGCTCAGAAATATATACACTTGTATCAAAAACGAGAAATAATTACCAGTAACACTTTTCTGAAACGTGAAAATCACGTTATACTTAGTATGATTCATTTTCATCTGTATGACCAACTCTTCACGACATCTTTCATTCTTTTTTGGTTCTAGTTTAGTTTCTTCTTCTCTAAACCATATTTTACCTATTTAATTAACAATGCGATAAACACAAATATTTTCTATTGGTTGATTTTATATGCATTAATGTGTTAACGTAAATGAGTGTCTTGCTATAGAAAGGATACTATTTTATTCTGCATATTATTTAATTGGCTGTTAAATAACAATGATCTTTCGTTGTTCATTTCATTAATATTTGAATATCCTCATAATACATCTTTAACAATGAACGGTTCATACGGTAATACAAATTTTATTGTACGTCTTCGTGGTTTACCATGGAATACAACACAAACTGAAGTACAAAATTTTCTTCAAGGTTTTTATTTTAATTAGACTTTTTTAATTAAATAAAAGAAAAAAAGCATCATCGTTTTTTTTTTTTTATCTCAGGTTGTAAAATTCGTCAAACAAATTTTGTAACTAATGACCAAGGTCGAGTTACTGGAGAATGTTTTGTTGTATTAGAATCAAATGAAGATGTTGATCTTGCAAAAAGTTTTCATCAAAAAAATATTGGTAGTCGTACGTATCTGTTTTGCTATTTTGTTAATATAGAAAATGTTTTAAGATAGACACAAAAAAAAAACAAGTTTTGAACTATTGTAAAACAGAGAAAGATCAGCAAAATAAAATAGATCAATCCTTTGATTTATTGCCCTATTATTATGTCTTGAGCATTTGTGACTATTTTTAAAAAATACGAGTCCGATAATTTTTCACGTTGTGAGCAATGACCCATGACTGAACACACTACTGCTCCCCGACCTATTATCGAACTTCTGATCACGTGACTATAGATATGCGTATATATTTTGGTTCAATTATCCAGATTTGCCGTTCTGGACGAGTGGTTTAAAATTCTCAAAGCAGATCTTCGGAGAGGCACGACTCCCACTGTTCTCGGTTGACTGTGGAAAGAACGAAACCAGAAAAGTCTTGTGAGGGTCAGTGAAGAGAAGACTAGAATTCATATCTCTTATACCAAAAATAAAGAATGTCATGTTAGTTGAAATTTTTCGGTATTTCTCCTTTCTACAGCAGTGCTATAGTTTCTAAGACTCTATTGAATGAAAGCATACAAATCGGTATAGCTTCGATTAACATAATTATTTTTGTTTCATTATGTGTTAAGGTAATAGGTAGTTAGAAGTTGTAGTAAGCTTCATCTTTCATTGTTGTTCATCTGCTCTTGAACTAATCATTCATATCAATGAATACAAAAAAAAAGCTCAATTTTTATATTTTTTAAGGATATATTGAAGTATTTGAATCTAATGCCGATGAAATGGCTCAAATGACTAAGAATAATAATAATTCAAATACTCAGCAAAATAATGAAAATAATTCTTCAAATACAAATAATGAAAATTGGCGTGAACCAGTTGTTCGTTTACGTGGTTTACCATATAATTCAAGCAAAGAAGATGTCACACGTTTTTTTGACGGTATGTAGAAGATAAATTTTCATTAAAGATAAAGAGAATAAAGAGATTTTCTCAAGTTGGAAAATTCCTCTCTGTATTATTGAAAAAAAATAACGAAAAAAATCTATATTGTTTTGTCTTGTTTTTTTTCTCTATTTTTTTTGGGATTGCCTCACCTTGTAGGACTCGACATAGCTCAGAATGGTGTACACATCTCCTCCAGCAAACCGGCAGGCGAGGCTTTCGTCGCTTTTATGAACATGGACAATGCCCTACGAGCTTTGGAATTCAACCGCATGAATATGGGGCATCGGTACGGTAAACTGAGACAGAAGAATACCTTCTTTTCCTATAATAGAATTTAACAAAAAACAAAAAAAAAGTTGATTTGGGATTTCTCTTTTATATTTAAATTGATCGAATAGAATTTTACAAAAAGAAAAAAAAAAGAATTCTTTTGTTTTTTTTTTTGCATATAATTTTAATTCTTTTTTTTGCTTTTTAATTTCCTATTCGATTAATTTACTGAAACAAAAAAAAAAGCTTTTTTTTTTCTTTTCTTTTATTATATCCATATTATTCCCTCTTATATGTCCTGTTTTATTTCTAAATTTCATTTTAATTTTATTTACTTTTAAAAAAAAAATCTTCTAATGTTTTAATTATATGATTATCATTAAAACAGCTATATCGAAGTATTCAAATCGACATATGCTGAAGCTCGTGCCTCAATCATGAATGATACACAATCAATGGCACGACAACGTGGTAGTGGACCTAATCAAAATTTTGGATATCAACGACAAGGAAGTTTTGGTGGTTATAGTGGTAATATGAGTGGAGGTGGTAGTGGCAGTGGTAATAATAATAGTGGATATAATAACAATATGAATCAATATGATGATCCATCATCAAATAATTACAGTTATGGTGAAAGCGGAAATACTGGTAATAATTATCCGATGAATAATCAAATGGGTGGTAATAGTGGAGGTGGTAGTGGCAGTGGAGTGAAACGTGAGGATTGATAAAAAAAAAAAGAAAAATATATATTTTATTAGAAAATATTTGTTGAAGGTCCAATGTCTGTATCATTTACAATGAAAATACGTGGTGTACCATTTGAAGCTGGTGAAAAAGAAGTTTTTGAAGTAAGAAAAAAAAACTGATATATAAAAACTTATTCATTGATAGATCAGTTAATCATGTCGTAATAGTAGCAAAAATATCAATCGATAATGAAAATTTAACTGTTGTGAAAGCGTTTATGATTGATAATATAATTAAAAGAAAATATCCCCATGTTACATGTTTGTTCATACTACCAGCAGTTTGAATCACATGTGATGCGGAACATAAATAGATAGATCAATTCATTTTGGTTATAGAGAGAAGTTTATTTGTTAAACACGATTGTTATTTTTTGACAATTTAAAATTATCATTTTAGTTCTTCAGTCCTGTTGTACCTATTCGACTTGAACAAGAAAATACTCCACGTGGTAAACCACCAATATGGTATGCTGAATTTGGTTCACGTGAAGAAGCAACTGAAGCATTGACGTAAGTCATTTCTATAATGAATAAAATTGATATGTTTGTTACTTTTTTTAGATATCATAAAAAATATATGGGAACACGATATATTGAATTATTACCATTATATGATGATGGCAATCGATCAAAAATGGTTCGCACTTGAGAAAAAAAAAAAGAAAAACATTCTTTATTATTTGTACAGAAACAGCGTGTGTGTGTATTCTCTCTTTTTTTTTTTTTCTTTTACTATTGCAAGAGATAAATTCTGAAAAAAGAAAATGTTATTTGATCTACGCTGAATTCTTTCATCATGCTTTGTTGTTGTTGTTTTTTTTTTCGAACAATCGAAAAGAAGATCATATAGGTAAAATATGGGTTAAAACCATTCCAAGAAAGAAGAATAAGCGTGTTTTGTCTTTCTGTTATTGTTCTGATTTTTTTTTCTTCTCTCCTTTTTTTCTTTATGCTTAGTCTTCGCTTTCTTCTTTCGTGTGTAACGTATTCTTGTCATGTTCGCACAAATGAAAAGAACAAATAAAATTCAAAGATTAATTTGTTCGCAAAAAAAATAAAGTAAAATAAAACGAGACAACTATAAATGAATAAAATAAAATACAAACAAAAAAAAAAGGATTTTTCCAGATGGCAACACCTACACCTGAAGAACTTGATCGACAACTCGATGTGTTCATCGATAAACTTGTCGAAGACAAAGATCAACTTCCAACGGGTGAACTTGATGATGCTTTTTGGAAAGTAAGATCAATGATAAATCATTACTTACTATATGGATTATACAATTTTAAATGTATATATATATATATATTAGGATTTAGAACGGCATCCATTCTTTCTTAAAGAAATACCAGATGATGGTGCTGAACTTCATCCTGCTACTGAAGCTTTACAAGCATTGAAATGGGATGATGATGACGATACACCTTTAGGTAGTAAAATTATACAGCTTATTTATTGCTTATATTGAATAAGAATATTAGTTTCATTCTTAGAAATAAAAATAAAATCAGAAATTTCTAACATTTACTCTATCCTATGAAGTTTATTTCTCGCTTTTCCATTAGATTTACTCTAATTAGGAAACTCTAGAAATTGGTAAATAGTAAAAATGACAAAGATCGATAGAGGCAGCTAACAACTTGCTTCCGTCTGTTCAGTACATGTACCACGAAACGTGTGGTTGCAAAGACCAACTTTTCAGTGGATTTTCATAGTTACTACATGGAACACTAGAAAAGTTTTTTTTCACTCGACTCTTAAATGTCATAATTTAAATACAATTATCCTATCATCATGCATAGATATATTTACGATTATGTACAAAGTTTCAACCTTTTAGATCCTATAAATCCTCGTATTTTCCAAGTTAAAGCAAGCTGTTCTTACGAGCGGTTTCAATCTGGCACACGTTCGCTATTAGTGAGTGAATAATTTAACCTTTCGCCGACTCTACTTCGCATAGGAGAGTTCGAAGTCATACCGGAAATAGTCTGTGTGTGACTAATACAAAAGAAATGAGAAAATGCAATAATTGCTAAGATCTAAAAGGCTGAAATTTTGCACATAAAATTAGAGACATTTTCGGCATGAAACAAAATGATTGAATTTCCTCATCACTTCGTCATTTTGATCAACAACAACAACACGAAATTCGAATTGTTTTCTACGGATGTAGGACAGATGTTCGTCAGTTAATGAAGTATAAAAATTATCAAGAATAGCGAAGAAAATATTTTCTAATTTTCGAAAATTCTTTCAGTTACACTGAACGTTCTTTTGCTCAATATATGAACTAATTGGTGTATCAAATATTGATCTAGAAATTAATCTTTTGTCTTCTATGTTGCACATTTGTTCGCACTATCGTAGTATTCACAAGAACCATCGGTATAGCGTACATTATACCAAAGAGTCTACTGAAAACTTTTGTTCGATTTGAATCACATAAGTTTTTATAAAATTTTATTATAAATAATAATTTAGATAAAGCAAACAAATTTAAAGACGAAGGCAATAAATATTATCAATTCAAAAAATATCGTAATGCAATAATTGCTTATACTGAAGGTATAAAACAACGTTGTACGGATCCTACAATCAATGCTATTTTATTTTGTAATCGAGCAACAGCTAATTTTTATTTGGGTAAATACAAATAAAAATATTTTTCTTCTTCTTCTTTCAATAGGAAATATTTTATTAGGTAATTATCGTTCGGCATTACGTGATTGTGTATTCTCACGAAAATGTAAACCTGATCATCTCAAAGCTTTTATTAAAGGTGCTGAATCATGTATGAAACTTGAAAGATATAAAGATGTACAAACATGGTGTTCAACTGGTTTAACAGTATCCTTTTCCTTGATAATTACTTTTTTTTGTTTTGCTTTTGATCTATTTAAATTTTCGTTTATATTTTCCTTAACAAAAATTTATTTATTTTTTTTCTTATTAAATGTTTTCTAATAATGATCCTAAACTTATCGAAATGCGTGATCGAGCAGCAAAATTACAAGTAATGAAAAAAAAAAAATAAAGAAACAGTAGAAATTCATTTTGTTTTTCTTGTTTTCTAGAAAGAAAAAGAACGTGATGAACGAAAACAACAGGGTCGTGAAAGAAAACAAAAAGGTGAACATGACAAAGTTCTCAATGCTATTCGTGTATACAAATTTTATTAATCATAAATTTAATTCTATAGATTTTTTTATTTTTGTTTTCACTAGCAACGAAATATTCATTTACAAGAAGATCCAAGTATTGATATATTTAATATAAATGCAAATCCAGCTGGTAGTTGTGTGCAATTAAATGAATCCAATCAATTATTGACATTTCCTGTTGTTTTTCTCTATCCAGAATATATACAAACGGATTATATCAAAGAATTTCATGAAAATACAAAGTAAAATTTATTACAAATCAATCATTTATTTGTAATGTTTGGTTTTTTTAGACTTAGTGATCAATTATCTGTTATGTTCGAATCTCGTCCACCTTGGGATGAAGAAGGAAAATATACATTAGATCGAATTGGAGTAAGTTTCATATAATAGAATTCTAATAAAAAAGAAGAGAGTTAATAATTGATGAAAACAATTTCTATAGAAATATGATTTCTGTCATGTTGAATTCTCATTCAAAGTGTAAAAAAAAATGACCCCTAATAGAATTAGACCTATAAAACTTGTTCGTGCTGTATCTCAGTCGGTTGAAATAGTCAATGACTGTCGTAGGTGTGTTATACCTGGCTGTTGAGAATGATCAACTCTTTTTATCTGTCTATCCGAAGACCGGCCAGACTAGTATTCATATGACTCGATAGCACTTTTCAACGGCTTCTAAATCCTATAAAAATATCATGGAAAACACCCTCCGATATGATCTCACATGAACCACATTATAGGAAGCTGCGGGCCCACGTTTTTGTGGATCCAAATCCGAGATTTTTTCCACCAATATCTGGCACCCTTCGTGTACATAAACAAGTAAAAGATCAAGGTTTTAGCTATTTATTCGGTACTCTCAGAAAAAAACTCAAAATGCAATTATGTCTTGTTGCTGTATTTCTCATTTTGGAAGCAGCGAATTCACAAAAACGTGTAATCGAGTCCGACAAAAAATAAAATTATGAACCCGGACTCGGATCTGGAAGGATCCGCAGCTTCCTACTACATTGCTTTCATATACCTGTAGTACCAGTATTGTCTACCGGAAACTTGTATCAACGTCAACCAGGCTACTATTCATATATGATTCAATAGTAGTTTTTGAGCACTTCAAAATGATATAAAAACATCGGTGAAAAAACTCAAAAAAATCTCAAGGAGACATGATTTTTTTTAGCCTAATATTTAGTACGTTTCAATTAGCAAAAATACAATTTGGATAACAACTAATATGGTATTCCGAATCTGCATTCAAAATTGTTTAGACTTACGTTTATTTTGAAAAAAAATTTCGCAAACTTTTCTTTTCGTTGAAAAATTTACTTCTGGTCCTCCTCAGGATTGAATCAAAAAATGAATTTCATGAAAACTTTGGTTTTATTGTTTATTCATTTGCCATTTTAAATTCTACTATCGTTTTATAACCTTAGAACTTGATTTCCACTGTAAAAAGAAAACCTTGCGAAAATTTTTGCAATACACATAAATCCACTCCGTTTGAGGTGCTGATTCAGAATATTATATTAGTTTTAAACTAAATCCTAATTTTCTTATCGAAGTCTACTGAATATCAGTCAGAAAAGACTTAAAGTCATACGTCGAGAATAGTCTCATTAGGATTTTTTTGACTGACCAGCTTTTTTTTTCTTCGATATTTTTAAACCATTTTGAATCACTTTGGAAAGTACTGATTATCATCAACAGTTGGGTTCAATGTACATGTGACGGTCATTGACTATTTCAGTCGATCTGTCTACAGTACAACTTAGTGATAGTTTGACATAGAAAAAATCAAGACCATTTTCAACAGTTATCGATTCTTCTTCTTTTTTCTTTAGATCTATTATGAAGATCGTAATAAACATGAATTAAAAATGATTTCATCCAATAAAACATTACTTGAAGTACTTCAATTACCAGGGTATAAATTATCAGATTATTGTGTTTTTTTTTTAAACTATTTTGTTTTTTTTATTGTAAATTAGATATATTGTTCAACTTGGTATGCCAAGTTTTATAATCATGGTTCCTGATTCACCATTTGCTAAGCATTATTTAAAAATGTATTCAACTTTGTGATGATTTGTTTTTTTTTTGTGTTTCAATAAAAAAAAAAATCGCACACACACACACACACAACTAATAATTTGAAAACATTCGTTTAAATATTGATTTGTTTTTTTTTTTTTTTTAAGAACATAAAATGAATGTTCAAACATTTGTATATAATGAAAATTTTTATAAAAAACTTGCTTTAACAATAGCTATTATTCGTTTAACACCATCACATATGACACCAAAAGAATATGCAATACAAATACAAAATATTTTACGACAGAATAAAATTAATGATTCTATACAATATGAACAAATTTTATTAGATATTCGTTCTCTTAGAAAATCTATATCAATTATAATACCAACAAAATATATTGATTTACTTGAATATTATAAAAATTTTCTTCAAAATATTTTCATTATATCAACAGAATTTAATATTGAAATACAAATATTAATTATTGAAACAATTGATCGAATATTTCAATTAATAAAAGAAAATTTTTTTCGAATACAACAACAACAACAACAACAAAATTTTGAAGTTCTTTTTAAACAATTAATTAATACTATTGTAAATTTTGATATTATAACAAATATACAAAAACATTCTATTCAACATATACGACAATTTATTGATTTAATATTAATATACATAAAACAATCAACGATAATTACAAATGCTCAGATGCTTATTGAACAAATCGGTATTTATTTTGTGTTTGAATAATCGCATGATGAATTATCCTTTTCAGAATGAATGAAATTATTATGAGTAGAATTGTAAGCCGATTAGTTGTGCTGCTATCGCCGATAGCCGAGAAATTTTTTTTAGTCATCTTAACCACCACGGCAATGCTATTCCATTCCGCTAAGAGTTTAACGGTTCAGCTGCGTCGTCGTTTTCTTGTAAGTGATTGCTGAAAATTTCAATTCTCATCGGGATATATAAATAGATATTAGATTTTTGAAAATTTTTGTCACCGAGGATCAATTTTTAGATATGTTCTTGTCTAGTTTCATTTTTTTTAATTTCGAAATCTTTGAAAAAAAAAACATTGAAAGCTTCTTGCTAATTAACGCATCGACTTATATCTCAACCTACGACTTCAGAGAGACCTTATTTGACTATAATCGTTTAGTTTTTTAAAGATATTCACTATAGAATATATCAGAGATAAGTACAAAACAACATTTTTCTGTTCTGAAGGACAGACATGATTCTTCTTATCATTTTCTATTCTACAAAGCAAATAAAGAATTGTTCGTCATCTTATTTTTCTATTTTGTTTGTCTTTCAAATATTATGAATATCTCAAATAATAATTCACTCAAAAGTGCAATGTAAAAAGAAAGATCTTGTGTTATTATTTCCAATAAAGATGAGTTCATTTTCCTTTCAATTATTACTCAAGCTAGTAGATTGTATTTTACATTAAACTTATAATCATGATTATTATTTTCTGTTTCTTCTCTACTATGATTTTAATATTAAAGACATTCTATTCAGTTTAACTAAATAGATTAGCCTTGAACTTTCAATCAATCGCTACATTATTTACTATTATGCCACTTTATTTTTCTCACCATGAAGTAGATAAGATCATATGATAAATTGACACGTCCTATTCTCATCTTGTTTTATCTTGCTGAGCAACAAAACAGAAGATCAAGACGGCTGTAGATTGTGTTTTGTGCTGATCTATGGAATATACTGAATGAGTCTAATGATTATTCATGAAAAAAAAATTTAATGAATCAAGTTCTTTGTTTTTTGTATTTATATATTCAAATATGAATGTCAAATATTTGTCATTGATTAGGAAGTTTTACGATGAGATGTGCAAAATTTTTTTTTTTTTTTTTTTGGTAAACTTGAATTTGGTCAAAAGACGATGTATGACAGTAGTAAAAGAAAATAAAATATTTTAATAAACACTTTGTAGAAATATAACAATCATATTTTAGAGGAAAAAATATTTTTTTGGCAAACAGGATGAGGAGCGTAGATTAAAAACAGACCTACATCCTAGATTTCTATCAATTTCATTTATTGATTATGTATTAGATTGAGTTTATGCATATAATATATTATTGTTTATGTGTTCAGTTCTGTTATGGATTAAATTTTTGTACACCTTCATGAACGGTTACATAATCGACTAATAATAATATTGATTACAAGTATAATATCTAGAATGTTTTTTTTTATATCAATATAATTCATTTTTTTCAACAACAGAACTTTGATTTTTTTTTTTGTTTTTTAATTTTAGGTTGTTATCAATCTTATTTTTTAGTAGTTTTCGAACGAATACTTGCTGAATTATTGATCTATTTTGATAAAAAAAATTCTAATTCAACATATGGTTTAATTTTAATTAATATTCTACAAAAATTAATAACATCAAATGATTATATTACATTAAAACAAATATTAAATAATGATTTAATTCGTCAACAATTTCATGAATTACTTTATACATGTTTAGCATTTAATAATGATAATTCATTAATTATTTTTCTTTGGAATATTTATGGTCGAATTTTATAAAAAAAAAGTTAGACGTTTACTGTTCGTATAGGTTTATATATATGTGTATTTTTATATAGGAAATTTGTTTTCTTTTGTCTTTTATTAATTGTATAATTCATTTTAAACAAAGTGTCTTTCTTCATATTTGTATTACTCCTAATATCAAGTATATAATGATTTTAACGAATTCTTTCAATATTAGAAACTAAAAGAAAATTTTTAATAGCTTTTAAAGGTCATTTCTACTTATGAACATCTTTGAATATATATGTTTTGAATAGTAATGAACAATTCCGTTGTTAAGAGCTATTTATTGAGAAAGAGAGAGAGAGATCAAAAAAAAAATGTGTTCCTGTACATTATTAGAGATTGATTAATGTAAGAAAACATAGAAGAATAGAAAAAAAGGAAGATGATAGATGAACGAGATTGTTTTCATACCCTAGAGAGTTAACGAATGATGCTTATTTAGTAACGTCAAGGATGAATATAACATAGAAGGTCTACATTCTATTACCTGTTTTTTTTCTTTATTAATCCAATCGTTTATCTATCCTTGGTTTCAATGAACTCTACGTGTTTCCTATAGAGAACAATCGATAGATTTCTGTCACTTATTATTATCATCTATGCACATGACAACATTGATTAATTGAATAATATCTTCTGTTGTCAGCATAAACAAAATATTAATTTATCCTATATATTTTTTTTCTGTTTCTCATCGAGACAAAAAAGCTCAAAAAGAAAAATGATACAGTAAGAAATAAGTACCTCCTGCTGTTTTAGTCTAGTGTACATATCGATATACATAGGCAACATCTGGTCATATACGCATACAATTTCTTATTACATCATAATCTTTCTTTCTCAATGTATGTGCGTATTTAGAGTCTGTTGAGCAGTGAAGCAAGTCATCCACCCACTAAACTACTAACAAACAACAAAAACGTCATGATTATTACTCGTTCACATACGCATACATATATATATATATATATGCATATAGCTCTCCCTTTCTTTTTCTTTTACTCTGTTTGGTCAAAAAAAAAGATTGATTCGATGAGAACAAAGAAACGAAGAAGAAGAAGAAAAAAAAGAGAAAAGAAACTTGACCGCCTGTACATCAATGCTAGATGATCGATTTTATTGAACAATAGAAGCAGTTGTGTATGTCTGTATTGTCTATGACACAATTTTTCAATTTCATTATAACAAATAGTGGCGCTTCGCAGTATGAAAATAAATGCATACACATGCCATCTCATGATAAGAACTTCATCGTCATTCTTTCTTTTTTTTTTTTTTTTATATTTCTTTCTTTCTTTGTTCGACGATATTTACTTACAGCGAACATAGAAGAAGAAGAAGAAGAAAGTAAGAGGATACACAGCGATTACTCGAGACATAGAAAAAAAAAGAGTAGATGACCTGTAAGATCACGTCATCTTCATCTTGACTACCAATGTTCTCTTTGTTTTAATCATTGTTATTTTATCAAACAATAACTGAGCTCAACACCTCTGCATCATGACTATTGCAGGTAGTTAGTTATCGTTTATTTGAATAAGGATGAATGTTGTGTTAACGATTATGTTTTATATATATATGTATATACAAACATGTATTTTAGATCGGTTACATGGTATGAATAATGTTATAGGACAAAAACTATCAAATACAACTCCACCAATCGCTGATTTTAATGCTAGCGATGAGGAGAGGTACATAATTTTGAATAGGATAATTTCTTTTATTATTATTTCTTTTATATTAGTTGGTTGTTTGAGGAATTGAGTCGTGACGAAGCAATAAGTACATTACAAAATCAACCGGATGGTACATTTCTTGTACGTCCGAGTAGTACAATAAAAGGCGATCTTGTTCTTTGTGTAAAGTATGTAATAAAGAAATAATTCTTTTCATATTATATAAATTCAATTTTCTCTTGATTTTTTTTTGTTATAGAGAAGGTACAAAAGTTAGTCATTATATAATAAATGTATGTGAAGAAGATTCAAAATCAATATATAAAATAGGTGATAAAACATTCTCAAATATGAAAGATCTTTTAAATTTTTATAAACAACGATTACTTGATACATCACCACTTGTTAGAATTGTATGTTAAAAGATTTTTTTATTTTGTTTTGTTATTAATAATTTTTATTTAGTATCCTAAACCTCGTGTACGAACAAAATATAAATTTGATGGCAAAGTAATAAATTATTATAATTTTCATGATCTTTTTGTTTAATATTAAATAGGATGAAGAAGATTTACCTTTTAAAAAAGGACAAATATTAATGATTATTAAAAAAGTTGAACCATTATGGTGGTTAGCAAGAAATAGCGTCGGAGATAAAGGCATGATTCCAGCTAATTATGTTGAATATATTCGGTAAAAAGAAAAAAGAATTTTCTTTAATTAATTGTTTTTTTATTTTTGTCTGTTTAGAGATGATATTTAATATTTTTTAATCATCGCAATAAAATTTCATTTTTGTTTGTTTTTCTTTAATCTTCATATTTTTTTTTTTTTTTTTTGTATTTTGACAAAAGAAGAAAACGACACAGTGACATTTGTTTTATGTATAGAAATCCTTTTCTTTTTGTTTCTTGAATGGATTTATGTAGTGTGCCTTATTTCTATTCAAAATGTTTCTTTCTTTCTTTCTTTTTTTTTTTTTAATCGAAAGAAATATATATATATATATATAATTGTCATATACATATGAATAATGTCATCTTAAACGTGATATTAAATCAATTGACAGGTAAGAATTATTATGAAAATGTTAATCTGATTGATACAAAACAGTTTTCTCTTTTGGAAGAAATCAAAATTTTGGTCTTCAAATTCAGGTTAAATTTTTGATTTTTTGGTATGTAATAAAAGATATTTAGTATGCATGATGACTATGATCATATAGAGGTCATGACCACCCCTATAATTGATTCTATTTTAAAACGTGATGGTTATTAACAAATAGAAGTGATGAATGATTTTATGCATATGTGATATTTGTCTGATCTTAATTTTTTTTTAATATCCCTATGAAATAGTGATTTTAATAGTAAATAGAGTTTTCTATTGAATGCATTTTATAAACAAAATTTCATAGATCAAGTATGATGGGTAAATTTCTAAAAACCAGATATGATAGTTTTAAGGTTCTAGAAGATTTTATCAGAGTTATTTTGAAGAAAATGATGCATCGTCATGCTTTCTATGACCTTCCCTTAAAAACTTACAAAAATCGATCTTTCTTTCGGTTTTTGTAATGGTTTTAACTTTTTAAAAGAAAGTCTTAGAAAATGTAGCGACCTTAGCTTTGTTCAGAATTTTAAAAATAGCTTCGATAAAGTCTTCTGGAATCCAAAAGCTACCGTACCCGACTTTTGTAGAAACCTTGCGATGATAATTTCATCTATGAAAATGCATTAGATAGAAAAATCCATTGACTATTAAAATCACTATTTGGATTTGAACTAAATGCTCAAAACTATAGGAAAAAATAATGGAGATTGATTTTCAAATTGAATGTCCACTAGCAATAGTGTTGAATATGATGACCATCAGATTAGAGATGGTCAGAATAAGAAATATACTTACTCATAGATGCTAGGACAGCTAATTAATGGTAATCCGTTGTCCAAGGAATCTCTATACATTATATTATGAATATGGTGGTAAAATAATAAAAATTCAATTTTTGAAATTTGAAATGATTACTTCTTTATGAAATGTGTTTTATTTTTAAACTTCATATCTAATAAGCTTTAAAGAAAGAATGATTTGTTCTGTTTTTTTTTTAATGATATCTTTCAAAATCTAGACTATTCGATAGTCAATGTTTCTTGTTGATGATAATGAGAAAATTGTCCGAACATTATTATTATTATTATATTCATTGTTGGATATGAAGTTGTACATTGTCTTTTTCAAAGATCTTAATATCGTATTTCAGTGTATTACTGGAAAGAACATTTCAGCAACAGAGACAATGGGCACAGTAGTGACGTCAGAATAATTTTCCTTCTACAATTAACAAGAAACATTAACCATAGAATAGTCTAGATTTTTTTTTTGTCGAAAACAAAACAACAAATCTTATACTTAGGGGTAACCAAAAGTTTGTGCAATATTACACAAAAATATAAAGATACAAACAATTTATTAAAAGTTTTTTTTTGAAGTCTTTTCCGAAAAAATTTTTAACTGCCTTGGAAACCACATGAGCCAATCATATTTCATTCAATTAATCAGTTAAATTACATTCGATAAAATTAGTTAGCTACAAATTACATAGTGTCAGACTTGGCGAATGTGACATTATATTGATGTCTTCTTCTGTCAATAATTAATAACATCATGTGAGTATGAAGTCAACGATTATCTTTAAACAATTTATACATTTTGAACCTGATGTCTATGTTTATTTCTATATTTCATTAACAAAAGGGTTCAGATAATTTTCAATATAATACTTGTTATCTACACTCTTGCCTTTATCTACATTCAGGACTATTTGATTTAATGGATATATTAAATAAAGTTTTGCTTCACATCTGTCTCTATGAATAATATTCTTCAACAATTCATCTTCAATAAAGCAGTTAGCATCAGATGACTTATGATTGACCTATCCTAAAGTAAATTCATATTGCATTACTAGTAATGATAGAATGCAACTGATATTCAAGAACAAAACTTCACTAAATTTTTAAGACAAATGAAATATGATTAACTCATGTGATTTCCAAGGCAGCTAAAAATTTTTTCGAAAAAAACTTTTAATCAATTATGTCGAAAGAATTGAACTTGATATAAATAATCATGGGATCTATCCTCAACATTTAATAAAATAAAATTGAAAATATCTCTGTATCTTTATATTTTTATTTAATATTGCACAAACTTATGATTACCCTTTAGTAAAAACTACTATTCAATTACACATAGATCTATCTTTCCTATAACATTCGTTAATTTCAAGTATTATTTGTATTTTTCGAAAAAAAGATACACGATTAGAACTTCACAATCATTCACAGTGTATATTGAAAACATTAAACATTCGAAAAGAAGCATTAGTACTGAGTGCACTCATTCCTTTTATATCATCACTATACAGAAATTTCGGAAAATATTAACTCTTCCTTGTTGAATATCTCCCGAAAACGTCATGGTGTAGGGTTGAAAATTTTAACATAGCCTCTCCGCTATACCCTCTAAACATTGAATGTATGTGACCTAAAATTGATTTTCGAAGGAACGGAGCAGCTACAACGATCTCGCTATAAGTAATAATATATCTATGTCTGCTTATAAAACTCCTTTTTTTTTGTATTATCATTTGAATTTTTTTAAAAGCCCGCACAAGGCGAGCAGAAAAAAATTAGTCATAAAGACTCATTGAATTATTCCGAAACACAGAAATCTTTAGTAAAAGGCGAAAGATTTTCTTGTGATTGTTCCGGAATCAGAGTTACCTTTTCACTAACATGATCGACATTTATATAGGCAGAATGAAAGCAAAAATTGCATAGTAGACATTCTGTGTATGATGATGACTCATCACATCTATTCTTTTATCGTTTATATGATTGGATGAAGTCAAGTATAGAAAATTTTATTTTTCAAAAAAAAACAAAATGTACAAATATTACTAATTCCTATAAGAAAAATGTTAATATGTAATTCATTGACCTTTCATTTGAGACAGTATATCTTGTATTCGACGAAGCTAGAGTAAATAAATAAATTTTTTAAAAAATCATCATTTTAAAATAATTTACTTCATCATCTTTTTCTTGAATTAATTTTTTTAATTCAAATTTTTCTAATCGATAATTTTCATAATGAATTTCATGTGTTATTTGTTGTAAATCTTGCATATGTATTCTAAAAAAAAATTTAATAATTATTATTTTTTTAATTTATTTTCAATTTCATTTTTACATTAACATTGTTCGAAGTTTAAGAAAATCGCAATAATAAGAATTTTCAATATTAATTAAACCCCATGGATAAATTCTTCCATAAAATTTTTTTCTTTGAATTTCATATATTTGTTTTGATGAGATAATTGCAAATGGTAAAGAATTTTTTAATTCAAAATTTTTTTCTTTTAATTCTTCATCTTCATCAGAATCACAATCAGGTATTTGATAAATTTTAATATTATGTTTATGAATTTGTTCAATTATCTAAATACAAAAAAAAAAAGATTCTAATAGATTGAATAATTCATTTCGAATATTTTAATATTCTCAAAATTCATATATTCACAAGATATATAATATAAATTTACATACAATTTGTTTCATTTGAATAAGTTCATTAGATGTTAATGCATCAGCTTTTGCAATTATTGGAATAATATTTACTTTATGATGTAATGCTTTCATACATGTAATATCTAATGGTTTAAGACTAAGAAAAAAAAAATAAATAAATAAATATCGAACAAAAAAAGAAAAATAAACCCTCGTGTTAATGATGAAATAAAATATAAAAGACAATGAACACGATTATCAGATATATTTCGACGATTAAAACTAATTTCATTATTAAAATAATATTCAAATTGTTTATCAATATAATTTAATATTAATTTATAATTATCAGTACAATCAATATTATCACCATAACCTGATGTATTAAGAATTGTTAAACGTATTTTAATACCACATTCTTCAATTTCAATAGTTGATGGTTCTATTTTAATTGTTTGATGAATTTTTTCTATATATAATAATCGATAATAAAAAAAAAAAAAAAACAAATAAGAAATTTTTATTTACCTTGACCAGTATATATATGTCGTTGTGGATAAAGATTCGTTTGAAATAAACTATTAATTAATGTTGTTTTACCAAGTCCACTTTCACCTATTGAACAATAAAAACAAAAAAAAAGAAAAATCTTATTAATAATAAAATATTTTTCTTTACCAACAACCATTAATGTAAAATCAAAACCACGTTTAGCTATTTTACGATGAATTTGAGTCGGTAGATTAGCAAAACCAATAAAATCTGATTGTTTATTCTAAGACAACAAAAAAAATCAAAATGCTAAATACCAATAAAAGTATTATCTAATGAATTAATTTATCTGACAATACAATCTAATATCTGCTCTTCCTCTAGAATAGGAAATACCGGGCTTTCGAGCGAGAGAAAAGTTGTTGTTGTAACTGAAATTAAAGATCATTTTATGGTGTTAAAACGAATTATCTTATAAATCATTCAAGAGAGATGATACCATAATAAAATACATAGTGATCGAATAAATTCTGAAATAGTTTTCTCTACGCCGAAGTTCGAACTAGATCAAATCAAAATATTTTGCAGTAATCCAAAGCGATTAGACTCATATATCTATAATATAAGTTGAATTACATCATAATTACAACTCGAAATTGTTGTTAAAAACTGTAATGAATCGAAATTAGACAACAAAAAGTGGTACTGAGCATCTGTTGTTATAAATTTAGAGATTTGACATTGAGAAAATTTTTGCCGAATAAAATGAAAACTTTCATCTTTCAGTCTTTCGTTTATTACTTAGGACATACCAAAAGTCTTTACGATGCTATATCAATTTTTTTATAGAATACTTGAAGAAATTTCTTTTTTTTTTATGTAGTGATAGAGAAAATGATGCTCTATTTTGTCTATTCTATTTGATCAATCTTCGACTAATATCATAATAATAAAATTTCGATAAGAACTATTTTTGTGTAAAATTTACCTAACGGATGAGACAGATTTAATGTTTCAATCACTTAATACATTGTATTAAAAAAAAAAAAGAAAATATACAAACACAAGATGGTGCGTGAGAAGCTCTATAATCTACAAAGTAATGCTTATTTTAATTGTGTATTTCTCGTTAAAGAAATCAAAATTCTGTTTTTCATATTTCATATATAAAATAAACTGTTCTTTATAAGTTGTAGAGCTTTTCAAGCTGCAACTTGTGCTTGTATATTTTATTTTTTAATACAACGTATTGAATGATTGAAAATTAAAGTGCAAAACGTATTAATCTGTCTCATTCGTGAGATAAGTTTTATATAAAAATAGTTCTTATTGAAATTTTATTATTATGATATTAGTTGAAGTTTGATCAAGTAGTATAGGCAAAATAGAGCATCATTTTCTCTATCACCTAATAAAAAAAGAAAATTTCTTCAAGCATTCTATAAAAAATTAATATAGCATCGTAAAGACTTTTGGCATGCTCGAAGTAGTTACTTTTACTATTATCTCGTTTTTGTCAAACAAACAAAGATGAATTTTATCCTAATACATTGTATGCAAAAGTCAAAACAGCAGTTGACATTTCTTGGTAAAATCGGGTTTTTTTTCTTCAATAGATGCGCTTCGAAAACCACTCTTTTCACAACAACTGTCATCCTCTTGTTGATTTCATGTATGAACAAAACTTCATTGTTGTACATTTCGATACAATCAACTGAACTTTTTATTTTACATTTCCATTAGAAACAGTTTAGTGTGCAGGGTGTTGTCGATTCATTTCTCCCGGTCTATCTTGGTGACTTCGGGACACCCCTACTGTTTAAATTATATGTATTTTTCATTTTCATAATATTATATTATTGTGAAAACTCACATTATTATTATTATTATTATTATTCTGCGGTTGAACACCAGCAGTTGAAGTCATATTATTGTTCATCAAATAGTAGAATAGTTCAATGATTGATTAGTTAGTGAATTATTTTTGTTTATTTATGAGAAAAAATAATTTAATGATTATTTTTATAAGAAAACGAAAAAAAAAAGAAAAGTAATTGAACAAAAAATTATCTTTTATTTTCTTTTTTTTTTTTGTTAACTTCTTAATATTTCATTGGTCTATTTTTTAAATCAATCAAAGTTTATCAACAGAATTTAACACAATGGCACTGAACATGAACAGTCACATCAATGGAAATCGTATATAGTCACTTTTCTTTTTTTTTTTATAGATGCTCATAAACATAAATATTTCGTCGACGGCGATAAGAAGTTAAAAAGGTAAAACTAATAAATAAAGAATTGTTCATTCTTTTGTATAACTAATAATCTGTTTAAAACTCTAATTGATATAGCAGATAGATGGAATTCGATATCTTGTTTTCAATAAATATCGATTATCTAATTCAAATATTATTTTTTTTAGTTTTAAATCATGCAACATCACCGTCGACGTCCACCTATGACACTTTCACCTATAGCTTTAAATAATAATTCAAATAGGCCTATACGCCAAACAAATCGAAAGTAATTTAATCGACCTTTGTTGTTTTTTTTCTTTGCTTTGATATAAGAAATAAATATTAAAATCAAGAAAAAAAAAATTAGGAATTGAATTTAGTTTCGATTTTGATAGAAATTCATGATGTTTATCCAAATTTTTATTTCCGGAAGGGTGAACATATCTTTTCAAGAGGGAACCAATATAGTGCTGAGAGGATGAATTTGACGTTACTCTCGTACTGGATAAAACGCTGCTTATGAGAGATTGTTCCCAACTATGCAATCTCTTTCGGTTTGGTTTTTTGGCATTTGTTTATCAAGTTATCAGCTTGCTATGAAATTGTTCTGCTTTTGAAACACCACTGAAAACTAAGCACTTCTTAAAAATGTAAATATCTTAGTGAAGAAATGTTTGTTCTAACTCAAATGTTGAGATGTTTCTGTGGATAAAATTTCGATCATCTAGGTTCTCAACGATTCTATACTCATAGGAAAAAAACAAATTTCTTTCGCTATTCATCATGATCGATCGAATGAAAATAGCCTCAAGTAAAAAGCAATTAGATAGTTAGAAATGTTTTCTTGCTGTAAAACAGCTGCTGAGTTAAAAGAAAAAGAGTATTATTGACGATCACTGGAAAAAGATTTGACATACTGGAAAAACTCCCATAGCTTTGATTTGAACAATGAACCATCGTTTTCTCTTTCGAAGAGTAGAGTCCATCGAATCCGACCTGATGGTCTCTATCAAAAGAGCAATATAAAAACTTCGTGAAGACGAGCTAGATCTTCGGAAGGGCGTCGTTCTCACTAGAGCTTGATTAAACATTGATCTTGAGCAGAACAACTAATTTATTCAAGTTGATGTTCAGTGTACATGACAAAATTTAATTCGTAGAATGTAATAATTCGTTTTGTTTTACTTTTTTTTTTTAAAGTATGCCATCGACAATGAGCCAATGTTTTGGTTGTTCTCAACCAATGTATAATCAATATATATCAAATGTTCTTGATCATTTATGGCATCCGGAATGTGTTCGATGTTTTGTATGTCGATGTTTACTTAATGAACAATGTTATTCACGTGAAGGAAAACTTTATTGTAAAGATGATTTTATTAAGTAAAAAAGAAAAAAACGAAAAGAATTAATTTTTCTACAAAAAAAAAAAAATAAAAAAATTTTGATATTTATTTAGAAAATATATTCATCGTTGTTTTGCTTGTCAAAATCTTATTAAATCTGATGAATTTATTCGTCGTATTCGTACTGATCGAATATATCATGCTGAATGTTTTGTTTGTACAAAATGTAAACGTACATTACAAGATAATGATATATCATCATTACTTAAATCTGGTGATACATCATTTAATGATCTTGATTGTTTATGTCAAATATGTTCTAATCCTGAGAAATCCTCGAATGAAAAAATTTTATTATCAAATACAACAGATGAAAGTTAGTTTCTATGGATAAGTTTTCTTTTATTTTCAATTAATTGATGAAATTTTATCTAGATAAAATAATAGATAATGAACTTTCAAATACAATCAATGGAAAGATATCACCTTCATCTGATACACAAGAACAAAAATCATTAACAATAAATAATGATATGTCAACACCTATTGAAAATCATATTAATGAACAACAATCAATGGAAATTGATGAACCACCTCCTTCAACAACTAAACCATTGATATCACCTATAAAAGAACAACCATCATCACCAAGTCCATCAATTCCTATTCCACCGAAACCAAATAGTCGACAATCAAAAACTCGTCAAAGTACAAGTAGTAATGGTAGTAAACGTTCACCAGCTAAAGCAAAAGCAACAACAGCAACGTCTCGTCAAAAACAGACAATTGTAAATGAAAGAAAAGGTCGTTCACCAGCAACAAGATCAAAATCATCTACTAATACTACTACTGCTCCTGCTGCAACATCATCAACTGTTCAACGACGATCAAGTAATCGTCGTACAACGAAAACAACACGTTATCGTAAACGAAGTTTTTCAAGTGGAAGTGATGAAGATGAAACTGACGATGAAGAAGAAGATCAGGATGATGCTGATTTTGCTGAAGAGGTATTCTATTACAGTTCTGCACAAAATAAAAAGTTGCTTCATCCTGAAATGTTACTATTAGAGATGAAAATAGTCTAGATTGTTGACAATTGGTTTCATCTTTCGATAGACTTATTTGGTATAGTTAATATTTAACATAATTTCCTTACATACCCTCTATGTAGGGAGCTGCGGGTTCACGTTTTGCTAGACCTGGACTCAGTCGGGCCCAAAGCCGAGGTTTTTTCCATTAATACCTAGTAACCTTCGTGTACATGAACAAGTGAAGGGTCTAAGTTTCAGCTATTTATTCGCTACTCTCCAATGTACAGTTATATCTTGTTGCTGTATTTTTCATCTGGGGAACAGCGAGTCCACAAAAACGTCTAACTGAACCCAACAAAAAATAAAAGGTTGGATCTATTCGGGTCTGAAAATTTTGCTGTGACTGGGTTCGGATCAGATCCACCTCTGAAGAAAACTTTGATGCATACAATATATTGTGAATTTTTTCAAAATTTTGTTCGTTTTATGAAGAAAAAAAAAGTTGAATGTGTTTAGAAAATAGACAAAAAACAACAAAACACTTTTTGAATATATTATCGAAACTGATTTATCATCGTGCTTGGATCCAAGAAATGTCAGCGATCGGGTCAGGGTTCAAAAATCTTAGACCTGACGGGCTCTACCCTCAGCTCCCTACCTCTATGGGATACTATTGAGACGGATAGAAATTTATTTTTGCACACATACATTCAAAATATTAATTCACTGTCATAAAGACTAGTAGCATTTCTCGGGGCAGTTACCATTGTTTTGAAGTGAGGAAAAAAAAAATTTATATTTTTATTTACAGAATAATATACAAGCTGATGAACAAGAAAATACTCGTTCACCTGTTGTTAAAACTAAATCATCAAATAATTCCGATGATAAAAAATCTGAATCAGAATCTAAACCAACAGACGCTCCACCACCACCACCACCTCCACCTCCACTACCACCGCCAACAACAACAACAAATCCATCACTTATATCACAAGCTAAAATGTCTGAACCATTATCATTACTTAGCGGTCTTGCAGCAAATCCTATGTCAATATCATCAATAATGAAACCTGATTTAACACCTAGTTTTATGCCTCCAAATTTTAATCCAGCATTTCCAACACCTCCACAATTTTTACCACCTGGTTTTTCTTTACAATCAAGACTTTCAATGCCATCATCAACATCATTATCTAATTCACAAATTCAATCTACTCTTGTAACTGATTCAAACTCAGCGAATGCTTCTGATACAGATTCACTTGATCGTTCATCAAGTCCATCACAAATGGATATATCAACAAATGTTGAACCAGGTACACCAGCACGTCCTATAACACCACCAAAAAATTCACGTCAGACAACAAAAACAACGACTCACAAACCATCAGCTCTTTCTTCATTACTTGAATTTGGTACATTACCACCATCAAATTTAGGTAATAATACTTCAACAAATCCATTTCCATTTCCATTTGTTACACCTGGTCCTGGTGTACCATTTTCACCACAAGCAGCAGCTGGTATGGCAACATTTTATCGTCCACCATTTGGTGTACCATCAGCAAATATACCTCTTGATATGACTCAAACAAATTCAAATTCATCAAAGAAAAAATCTGATATAACAGATAATAATGAAATTATTTCACAAAATTTACTTGATGATTCATTAACATCATCAATATCACCAAAAAAAAAGACAACAACTAAAACAAATTCACGTAAAAAAACAAAAACAAATGGTACAGATGGTGAAAATGGTATTGATGAAGATAATATATCATCACCACCACCTTCTACATCATCACAAACAAATAAAAAAAAGAAAAAAAGAAAATCTGATACAATAGATAATATTACTACTAATGATAATGATGAAACAAAAATTACAAATGGTAATACAAATAATCATTCACATAATCTTCTTGCTCAAATGGGTCTTATAAATGCTTCATTTATGGCACCACCACCAATTCCACCATCATCAACAAATGGTAAAACATCAGCAACAAATTCTCAACAAGCTCAATTAGCAGCTATGTATTCTATGGCACCACATTTTGCTGCTTATAATGCTTTTCCAGGTGCTTTTAATCCAGCTTTTGCTGCAGCTGCTTATGCTAGTGGATATCCAAATCCTTATGGATTTCATCCGGCATTTGCTGCATCATCTACTGGTCAACCATTTCCATTTATGCCACCAACACCTTCTTCAGCTGTACCATCGCTAAACAAGTATACTATTTTTTGATTTTTCTAGAACTCACTTATATTTTCGAAGAAAATAGATAGTATAAGTTTGCAGCTTCCGCTCTTTGACTAAATTCTAGAAATCAACGACGACAGACTCTTTTTCCAGAGTTCCTTAGCAACAAAAAACATGCAGTGAATGGTATTAGCAAAAAGACTTAGGCTGCATCGCATGGCAGAATCTCTTTTCTGAATTAAAAAAGTACTTTGATAACTCTTTTCTCCGCTTAAAGAATACGAATTTAATAAAAAAAAACTTCTATCATCCTCTTTCAAATAGAACAAAAATTAAGTATATAAAATGAAGGTCTACAGAAAATTTCAAGTTGTCAAATGAGCTATTTTGGATCTTTGTTTGTCGAATATCGCTCGAAGACATCATGATACAGGACTGAAAATTTTAAGTGATTTACCTAAGATCGAATTTTGAACGGGGGCTTAAGAAAAACGGAATACGAAAAGTAAAAAAAAAAAACTCCGATTTGAAATGCAGAAATAAATAAGACCAATCGTTTCTCTGATCATCCATTATTCTTAGAAAACAACTATAATCAGCTAGAGATTTTTTATTTATTAGCATAATGAGATTAGAGAATACATTTTAATTCCAAAGGGATTGCACTGATAAATTTTCTTTAAATATATTATTTTCTATTTTAAGTACATCAACCAATGAAGATAAATCATCATCATCATCTATTGTTGTACCTGAAACACGACCATCTAAATCACGAAAGAGAAGTACTACGAATGGAGAAAAGAAAAAGTCAACAACTCCTCGATCAAATAAGAAAAAACCTATAGAACAAATTATATCTACAGATGTTCCTATATCAACAGAAAATGAATCAATAACAACAATGTCATCAACAGATATAACTCCACAAATATCTACAACACCTGAATCAAATAAACGACGAATGAGTGGTACAGAAAGTGAAGATTTTGATGAACAACAACAACAACAACCATTACAAACAACAAATGGTAAATCAGGTAATGAATCAGATGGTTCAATAGATGATGGAGATCGATCATTAAATACTATTCCATCTATATCTTCAACAGCAGCTGAAAAAAAAGGTGCTCGTACAACAATTAAACCACAACAATTAGAAGTATGTTTCTATTTTAATTAAAATAGTTTTTATTATTATTATTTTTTGAGATATTATGTAAAGCATTTGAAACATGTTCAAAACCAAATAAAACTGAACGTGAACAATTAGTTGCTGAAACTGGTCTTACACTACGTGTTATACAAGTATGTATTTCATTTTGATTATATTCATTGACAATATTATTCAATATTTGTTTTTTTTGAGGTTTGGTTTCAAAATAAACGATCAAAAGAACGTAAAGGTAAAACATCAAAAGAAAAAGAAACACCATTAGATGATGATGAACTTGCTGATGATTCTCAATCATCACCTCCACCAACAACATCAGAATCAACTCCTCCTATTACTAATACTGAAGTCTAATAAACAATATGAATCTTTTTGTTGTGTCAAAAATTATGTCTACAAGTGTTCTTTTTTTGTCTGATATCTAATATCAATCTATAAATTTTTTGTCTCTTTAAAATTTGTTCTTTGTACATTGTATGTAATTGACTGATATTTGTATAATATTAGTGTAGGAAGCAAAAAAAAAAGAAGAACAACGAAGAAAATTCATCTCCGTCTGGCAATAATATAATTAGTCAAATTCGATCTGATATGTTTATCCTTCTATTTGTTTTCTTTGTATAATCAAAAAAAAAAAAAAAGAAAAACGAAAAAAAAAAATGTTTGTTTTTTTGTCTTCTGTATGTATATCTATAAGAATTGTGCTTTTCTTTTTTGTTTGTTGGATATTATTATATTACAATATAATTAAATCTTTTTTCTTTTTGATTTGATATAATTGATTAATGTTTTTGTTTGTACCACGATCTTGTTCATCACAATCAATAATGATCAGTAAAAATACTGATTCGTCGTTTTGGTGCTTTGGCATGAAAAAGAGCAAAACGAAAATAACGTCCCAATTCTTCACGAATTGAAATCTAAGAGATACAAAGAAAAAAGACGTCAAATATATCAAAAACAAAAACTAACGAGAGGAGTATGCTAGATGATATTTGAGCATCTGAGATAAGGTAGTTCTTATTAAATAGAGTCTGGTGAGAGTAGAAAAAGTCTAGAAGGATTCATCTTCTACGCGCTGTCCTTCTGAATTTTATGTTTATGCATGGTGTAGTATTTATGAAACAAACGAATTTTGACTTCAAACTTTTGTGATATCTCAAGAAGAAATCATTCTTTTTGACTAATATTTTAAGGACATTCTAATGATCTCAAGAACTGTTGATGGACAAAGTTTCAAATCAAATCTTGTTTCCTAGATTTTTTGTAAGTGCTGCATCAAGGCTAAAAAATCCAGTGAAACAGCCATTACTCAAGAAGAACAGCACTATAGTCTCACCACACTCTACCTAATGAAAGATGTTTCATCTCAAATACATGGCACCACCCAGGATGGTTCCTTTTTAAGAAAGATATGAGACGACTATGAAGACAGGACATGAACAGTTAGTCGCATGGACACTAGCTTACGAAGTGCAAACTAGACTGAGTATGTAATTCAAAAAACAGTTAACAACCAAATAATACAGTGGATGTAAGCAATAGTCGGTTGAAGATGAAGGTCTTCTCTTTACTCGCACTCTCACTGTCACACTGATATTTTTTTATGTTAAAATATTATGCCAATCTATTTGATTTGAGTCCTAATTGTGTATAATATTTACGAGTTAATAAATACATAGGTTAATTTTGCATGTAATCGTCCATAAAAGGCATATTCTATAAAGTATTCGTGCCTTCAAAAGAATTTTTTGTCTCACTTTACCAGTTAATCGTATATGAATAGTTGTTTTCGATAGAGTAACTGACATTGTTGATTTTCATGATGTCACTCTATTATTCTGTGTGACTCATATATACACAGTTGCGCTCAAAATTGATCGTACATCTAACTGATCGTTCTGTTTTGTTTTCTAATATTTCAAGATGATGTGTATTGGTTGAGTTGCGATTTAATATACCACCATTTTCATAGATTATCTGTTCAATATATCAGCTCTCTACGTCATGTATTTACTCTGTTAGACTAGAAATACTAAGCATGATGTGTTTCGATTTTACTCAAAATTAATCAAACTTTGAACAGATAAATTATGAAAATGTGGCTAGAAATAGGAGGGAGGCCTGGAAGCTAAGAATGAGCAGTTTCCTTTCATAGCATCGTGGAACTTGGGAGTCTTCGGCTATTTCATATATCTTTTCTCAAATGGGGTAGGGCTTGAGGGTATGGATGTGGGTGGATGTATGGATGCGAGTATAGGTATGAGCTAGTGCTACATGAACACTAACATGTACGCCGACACCAAACACTCCACACTCACACCCTAGCTATAGACTCCTAGACCTAGAAGCTCCACCTTAGTTATAAAGAGATGTACCTGAGATTTGAGGGTGTACTCAATAGTTTTTTACTGTTCGAACATAGTATGCTCTGGAACAGATATGGATGCTAATGTGATATACGCTCTTCATTAAACTAATGGTGTTGGTATAAAAAGAGTTGATGATCATGGTTGTTACGCATAGTACCCTTGCTTTTTTTCTGGGCCTCTATTCCCACGCTGTCCCAGAAAAGTTTGGATGTTTTTTGTTTTTATTTGGAATTAAGAAAGAATTAGAAAAGATCGTAGAGTCAATTTTTAACACCTGTGGATATGCATAATTTGTTGAATAGAACTTTTCATTATATGAAACTTATTATTATGAGAAGTGTCCCATGTTGCAAGATGGTTCGCACTACTATTAGTATAGCACATATTATTCCGAACGGTCTATTTGCAGTTTTTGTCCGGTTTGAAATTACTGGAACATTCCAGACTTTGGCGTGTGACACATTGTTGTGGAGAACTCGAAGAAAGGATTTGGATTCATAATTATTCGTACACTGAAATAGATAATTCAGTAGTTCTCAAAAACTTTTTCCTATTGCGACTATATCTAATAAATACATTTTGAATTTTCCTCTAAAATATCATTTTCTACGAGAAACAAATTATTCGAAATAATAAGTTAATAAAAAAATCTACCGTTTCCTTAGCTCTATGACGTATTTTAATATGAAATTCTATTGCAGCAACAATCATTGATAGAACTAAACCAATAGCAAGTATTACAAATATACCACCAATATTAACAAAACCTAATGCTGAAGCTATTTCTTTTCTTTTATCTTCTTCATCACATTTTAAATTAGCTGCTTCTTTCCACCATTTATTATAATATTTTTGTATAACACCTTCATCTTGTAATTTTAATATTGTGTCACTTAATATATCACGATATGGTGAATCTAATACAAAACAACAACAAAAAAAAAATAAACAAAATATAATAACATTTTGAATTTATTTATACGTATTCAAAATAGATTTACTTTGTGGTACACCAAAACCATAACCTTTTGAATCAAGTAAACCACCAATTGATGTTAATTCACAATTTCTCATTATATTATATTCACTTGTAGTTGATCTAATATCAAAAATAATTATTAAATTCTTAAATATTAAATAAAAATTTAAAAAAATAAAACATACTCGATCAGAAAAGCATAATCGCCTGCTAATACTTTTTTAATACCTTCAGTACTTGATGATACCATAACACTAGCTTGATGAGTTGATATATAATTCCACATTCGTTCATATGTAGCAATTTTTGATTCCTATTTAAAAAGAAAAATAATTAGAATTCATTCTAAACTACTATCCATTTTAAAAGATAATGTGCTCTAATGTTTTTGTTTTTGAATAATTTTTTATAGGAATAACATAGTGACTTGTTGCTTTATATAAAAATAAATATCATCGTTCCACTCAGCATGATACTTTTCTGGCGGGAGAGGATCACAAGTTAAGTATCTGAAATCGGAGATCGCAAGAAAAGTCATATAACTCTCGGATGAAACGAGCTAGAAATATCGGCCTTGTATAGATCAAAAGACAAAATAACTTCCGAAAATCTCTATTACAAATACACTTGATTGATCAATCGAATTTTGATACTGTCGGGTGTTGTTTTCTTGAATGATGAAAACTGTAGGAATTCTATAATGTTTCTATCAAAAAATTTATTCAAAAAAAAAATAGTGAAGCACATTATATTTTGAAATGGATGAATATATTCTTATATTTATACACGAAAAAAATTTTCCGTTGAACCACCACGTTGAACACCATAAGCAATTTCTGTTTGTGATGCTAAATCCTCAGCATTTTCAATAGGTGTATGCATACGTTGTACAGTTAAAAAAGCCGCTAATCATATAAAAATATTTGAAAAAAAAAATTCTATTATATTCCTTTTTGACTAACCAAGATTAGCTGTATAAGATGAAACAAGAATTAATGTACAAAATCCCCAAAGACAACTAATCATACGTGTCGATGTTGCTATTGGATTTAAATCTGTACCTATTATTTAAATAGAAATATTTGAATAAGAAAAAACAAAAAAATTTTTTTTTTATAAATAACCTTGATGCATTATATTACAAATAAGAAACCAAAATGAATTAAATAATGTAAATTGATTTTCTAATTCATTATGAGTTCTTCGACATGGATATGGACTACGCCATTCATATGGTGATAATCTTGCAACCAAATAAAGTGTAAAACCAACAGCTAATACAAATATTAAAAATATAATATAATGAAAATAAATAATGAATTTGTTTTTTTTTTGTAATCATTTTACCAAAATAAGCTGCTATCATATAAGTCCATACTTCATGACTTAATGGTGAAAAAAAACCAAATAAATTCGGTTTTCGACGTTTAGATTTTTTAAATAGAATATTTATGCCAAGTGTTAAAAATGGTTTTGTAAAATCAATTGCCTAGAATATATTTTCATATAATGAATACACTCTTCTTCCTAAAGTGAATATTATTAAAATTTTGCTAGACAAATTTACTATTAAGATTTGTTAAGTCTTAAATGTGTAATGGAGAATTTCCTATACCAAAGACCAAAGAGTTGAATGTTAGTCAATGAAAGTTTCTTTGTCAATAAAACAAAAAAAAAAGAATTGTTGATCATAGAACCGAAATTTTTATTAATTTCACTCCTGAACAAAAGTCTTCACCCATTCTCATTCAAATTCCATTTCTTTCAAATGAATGTTTATAATCTCGATCAACACTACAAATGAATTGGTTGGTAGAATACTTCATGGCTGGATTATTTACTAGTTTTACTTTATCTGTATTTGTATAATTGACTATGCCGCATTCTCGACAGAACTTCGAGTGACCATCTCTCATTGTGAAACATTTTGTCAATCAATTTATGTATAGTATTACTCAATTGTATTGAAAAATATATATTCTTCATTGTAAGTAAATTGTCAT